TCAGCCCCCGACTTACCTCTCGGATTGATACGGGGTCTTGGGATGATACCCTGGCCGATATGGAAAAGTCCAAGTATTAATCTGTATTTAACTGTCTCCAACAACAAAGTTAAGTGCTTAAGAACATTTTGATTTTACAGGTGTGTATTAAGTTATGAATGATTTATTATTTTAGACTTTTCAATTAAATATTAATGCAACTTTCGGGTTAAAACCCTTCGAGTAAAAAAAGTTAAAGGGACATTTGACCTATTTTTTTAACATAGCTTAAAACATAATGTAAACTGTAATAATGCATTCTACTATATATTAAAAAGTTTGGACTTTATTTTATTATTAAAGTAGTTATAGAAATGTGACGGTCGTGTGTGATGTTATAACCCATGTTGCAACGTTTCAATAAAATTGCCTTTAAAAGGTGAGTCGTAAATGTGGGACAGCTGTGCATTGTCTGAAGTAGTATGAAAGGTCAGTCCTTAATGTGGGGCAAATGTGTAGTGTCTGAAGTTCACAATTGACTTGAAAAAACCAGATTCGTGGATTGGTAAGTGTCTGATTCATACACTAACCTTGTAGAGGAGTTCATACGTTCTTAACGCAACATGTTAATAAAAGATTTTTCGTGAGAAGCAGACAATCTGTTAGATATAACAGAGACCTGGCTGAGGGATTATTAAAGCTTTCGATTCACAAACAAATAAAATTATCTCCTGTTTTCTTGCAGATGTGTAAGCAAGCAGGGTTGATCGCTCACAAACATCTTTTAACCCGCAACATTTTATGTGCCTGTCCAAAATCATTAAGAGCCTGTTATTCTGTGCTTGTCGTTGCTTGCTGTCTACAATAAAATTAATCTTTTATTGTATTATTATAAACCAGGCTCTTGGTTTTACTTTTTGTTAAATATTTTTATAGCTTATTTAACGTTGTTGGTTTTACTCATTATTGAAGGCCGTACGATAACCTGTACATGTTTACATCCTTCTCGTTTGCTCTTCGGTGGATAGTGTGACTGGTAATAGATAATTGACTTCTTATCTGAAGACATGCTGTGATAAGATTTCTCAGTTTTTTGAGGAAAATGACCCTTGTGTGTTTGACTGGTAATCATATCACATCTTCTTAATTGCAGGGTTCCTTTACATGTACACGAAGTGGTTCTATTCCGGCACAGAGTTTCAGATTTAACATCTTAATTCCGACCGGTCGTGGCTGCGTATTTCACATCCCGTACAGTTTAATTGATCCTCACCCCAAGCACGGATCGTACTACCCAGGGTCGGATCCAGGATTTTAGTATGGGGGCGCAAACTTAAATTTTCGACGAGCTGAGCGAGGCGAAACTTTTTTTGAGGTAAAATTATCGAAATATTCTTTATTAAGCTGAGGACAACCTATTCTTTGCAAATTTTAGGGGGCGTGGGGGCCTGCATCCGCCCCTGCTACCAGGCGGAAGAAATCAATGTTTATATATATCTATAACCCATTTAACGCAACAGCTGTATTAACAGTACACAACATGTGAACTCTAAAGGTTAGTTTCTGATCAAAAGCTAAGTATTATTACATATGTTCAATATGCGATCGTTTAAACTTCGGCTGTTAACATTTTCAAGGTCAGTGCTCACTGAATACCTTTTTTTCTTCCCTGGCATCTGCTTTATTTAAAATGTAAAAGTTTCACACTGCACTTTTCCAACAGGATATAAATATATTTGAACTTTATATACTAAACGGTAAGTGGTTTAATGGTACGTATCATTTCTTTTAATAAATAATCATTAAATTTTACAAATGTAACTTGATATTTTGCTTCTGCTACAACATTAAAATGTGTAGTCTATAATTAAAGCAGACTACACATGCCCTTTATAATTTGAGGTGAAGCTATAGTCATTGTTACGAACAAAGAGCCGTTAAATGTATTTTAAATTTGAAAAAAAAAGATATTTGAATGACCGAATCAGTATATGTAAGCAGATCAACCGTTATATTTTTGAAAATAGCTAATTTTTAAACATTGTGCATGTCATCTGCTGTTCAGGTATGTTTATAAACTAGTAATAATACTCCTTTTTTTTTTAAATGGGACGTGACATTTGCATATGTCATAATGACGTTCTAAACGAATATTATCTGTAATAAAATACTATTATATTTAATTTTTAAATCATTTATTTGATACCGGAAATAAGTCATCGGCTTAGAAACATTAAGTTTCATTTATATTTTGATTCAAATGGCTTTACATCACATCTATGTATATATCAAATATACGTAAAATTATAATTCTTCTTTACAATCCGGGTATTCGATGATAATGTATTAGATATACACGTAGGGCGTTAGCCCGAATGGTTATATCTGATATACACCAATATATTATTGTCAATGCAGAATGATAGTTTTAAATAATTTAGGAGGGGGGACTTTCAGCGATTTCACCATATGTTATTGAAAAGCATGATAAATACAAGCTATCCAATTTCATTTAACGACATCTTGGTGTAATTATGTTTATAAAATATCAAATATTCAATAATACATATCCCATATTTACTGAGAAATATTAACATAATGTACTTTGACCTAAAATTGTTAACTTTTTACACATTGTGACTTGGATAAAGTGTTGTCTCATTGGCACTCATACCACATCTTCTTATTTCTATAAGCTAAGCCAGTGCCCGGTATTGGTAGGGAAAAGTTGATACTGGAAATTTGGATACCATATGAAAAACATGGCAAATGCATTCTCATTATCATATATTTTTAACGGATTTTTTTATTTCGTGAGTTACGCCGACGTGATAACCCGGGTTGTATGACCTAGTTGGTATGAACCATGCTTGGTTGATGGATGAATTGGTTGTTTTTCAACGTCCAGTGATGCATATTACAGGCATATCGGGACGAGAACATGTTGATGAGATATGATTATTTACACTCCTTTCTACTAGACCAATATGCTGATCCAGAGTTTTAACGTGCTAGTGTAACAGCCACTATGTTCCGTCAGTTACTTTGTTCCGGCGGAACTTTTCAACTAGTTTTTTCGTTCCGATGGAACTTTGCAACTAGTTGTTTTATTCCGAGTGCAGTCGAAAAGTTCCGGAAAAAAGTAGCTGGTTGAAAAGTCCCGGAACAATGTAGCTAGTTGAATAGTTCTGGCGGAACAGAACAACTAGTTACATCGTTCCGAATATACCATATTTCGTCCTTTTTGTAGAAAGAGGGGGAAGAATGAGTATCAGTATATATAAGAGCAAATCATTAATTTACAAGAATACCCAACGCGCTGAAAGGGGTTTCTTTGGGGACAAATATGCAAAATTTAAGTTGTATTTCATAGCTCACATAAAACGGAATAAGTTGCATTATCATGCAAATTTAGTATTCATAGTACCCTCAAGAGAGGGAAGAATACCCCCTCCTCATGTGGTTCTTTGCATCAATTCTCCAAATGGAACTTTGTGACTGGTTGATAAGTTCCGTTGGAACTTTTGGGCTAGTTTGTTAGTTCCGGTTTTGACTTATTTGCCAAAGAGGAACTTTGTGGCTAGTTGATAAGTTCCTTTTGACTTTTGTAATCAGTATCTTGGTTTCCCTTTGAAAGGTTCAAATATAATATGTTGCGCTTTTACTTTGCATCAATTCTCCAAATGGAACTTTCTGCCTGGTTGATAAGTTCCGTTGGAACTTTTGGGCTAGTTTGTTAGTTCCGGTTTTGACTAATTTGGCAAAAAGGAACTTTCTAACTAGTTGATATGTTCCGTTGGAACTTTTCAACTATTCACTTTGTTCCGGTGGAACTTTTAAACCAGAGGAAGAACAAAGTAACTAGTTAATAAGTTCCTCCGGAACTTTTCGGCTAGTTAGTTCATTCCGCCCGGAACTTTCCAACGTCGGAACAAAAGAGCATTTACACTAGTTCACTATGTTGGTGTCCGCAGGATTATAGGTCAGCCTACTTGGACACATTATTCTGACATCAACGACCAGTCTTTGCTCTAACTCCTAAATGCCTCGTATTCAGCGGAGAAGTAGCAAATACCAATTTCAAAGTCTTTTGTATGACCGGATTGGGGATCGAACCCCCACTCGGCTATCATGCTTTTATACGACTATCATGGTCTTTAACCATACTTGATATCATGATTTCATCTTTCGTGTTGAAATGGGCTTTACAAGATACACTGCATTACTATTGCTCCGTGGCAACCTTGTTTGCAACGCATCTGTTCGATATACGTGTATTAATTCTGTTCAGCGTTTCTGATTGTACTTAAATCACAATGCGTATAGGCTGAATTATTTCATTCGAAAGTATCAGTTTTGTGACAGTCTACGGCATAATTTGTTCTATATGGATGTTCTCGAAAATAAACCAGTTCATTTTGGAATATACCTTGAAAAAAATATACATCTGTTATTCCCTTTTTGATATTAACTTTGCTTCCCTAATTTCTCGAAGCATAATAAAGAAAAATGAAAGGGCATTCCCGGTTTTTTTAAAAATTTTATTGAGAGTCCCTTGGTGTGAAAAACACACAGAAAGGTGCGAATAAACAATAAGTTAAACCACGTTACCTTTGTTATTCGAATCATACAAAGCAATGTTTGACTGATATTTTCAATTGAGATGGGTTTCAATAACCCATCTTCAGGAATTATAAAACCTAGACAGCAAACCAACGACACAATGCATGACGAGATTTTGTGTCAACAATTGTATGCTGTATCCCTTCTATTCCGTTACGTTAAGTACGTAGTAGAGTTATTTGTAATTGTTTTCTGCATCATCAGAACGAACTATAGCACCCGCTTTATATGCATGGATGTAATGCTAATAATGTAAAACTTATGTACTAGATAGAGGTCGGATGCGTCTTAGTGCAACCCTTGATAACAGACAGGATGTGAAATATCTCTGGAATGATAAATCTTCAAGTGTTATTCTCACTGAAAACGTTAATTATATAATACAAGTATACATGTAATACAAGTATACATCATTGAGAATGACACTTTCCAGATGAAGCAGACATTCTTAAGTACCAAAAAAAAAACACGAGCTTACTTAACAACTTCCCAATGCACCGATCTGCCATGTAAACAATTAACAGACTTCACATGCGAAACTTCATTCGGAAAAACTATATTTGGATTTAAATATTACACAAGAGGTAAATTATTTCTTCTTTATATCAGTCAATAAACCATATATACCCTTGCTACCCAAAAATAATGCCGACACTTTATCTTTCTGTTACCATAATGACAGTAATGTCTCAAGAATAAGTATGTGATGTGCTTTTATTTTAGGATAGTTCCTACGCATGTTTGTATTGTCATTGAATTTTTTTTTTAAATAGTTATATTGCGTGCACATGCGGGTATCTGACATTTTGACACATCATCGAATCATCGGAGACTTTTACCATACTTTTACAAGCCATAAGCAACACGACGGTAGTCACAAGTGGAGCTGACTCGTCTTACCATTCCGTAACACACGAGATCACCCACTGTTTTTTGGTGGGGCTCGTGTTGCTCAGTCTTTAGTTTTCTGCGTAGATGGTGGATTGTCTGTTTTTCTTTTAGTTTTCTTATTGTGTTTTTTCAGTGTTTTTTACTTGTGCTCTGGCATATCCATTTTTCTTCGACGTATGATTTTTAATGCAATTATGATACATTTTAAGGCCATCAATATGATTTTTGGCGCTATTCAAAAATATTTTCACCGCAACCCTGCTACGGTAGCAGTCAAACTGTGCTTATTCATTGTTATGTACAATCACTGATAGTATAAAGCCTTGCCTTTTACAGTAACAATATTGTTCCGTGGAATTTTATTTATGATGTTGTGAATGAGCACAGAGTACTGGAATTTTTGTTTCAACCTATTCGTGTCCACATTTTACAATTTCAATCATAGATATTATCAATACGTGCATATAAAAACATATGCTGTCTCTGATAAAACAGGATGGAAATGTTCGACGAGCCCTACATTTCTACCTTTTTTTCTAATCCATACTTAAATCTATTTTAAGACCATAGATATATTAAATACATATATACCATGGAACTTGAAATATAAAAAAAAGTATCATTTAGAATAACATTAACGGTACCAATTTTCAGTTCTGCAACAGATGCGCATTTCGACAATAAATGTCTCTTCAGTGATGTTCGAGGCCAAAATATCTGAAAATTCAAAACTTATTAAAAAAAATGAAGAGCTTATAAACCAAAAGAAGTATAGAAAAAGCCGGGCAAGGAATCATAGCTTTTCTGCATGAGGGAGATATATTCCTTAATTTCAAATAATTTCAAAATTTCATAACAGCAAATTTTAATAACACAATATCCGCACACAAAAAATGTGAAGAATCTTGGCTTTGAATAAGCCAAATATTTTTAAGTGTAAATGCCTTAAACGAAAATAATGTTTTATAAAGTGGTGCGTCCGACGCGCTTTTCTGGATTTACCTTTATCAGGAACGCTATAGTCCAGGAAAAGGTGAAAGCCAAGGGAGGAGAGGGCACTCCTGGTTTTAACAAAGTTAACTCCGTAAATATACTGAACATTAGTTACTTCAATGGAAAACATGAGAAACAATGAGATTTTCCCAAGGAAAGACCATGGACAGTGTGAAATTAAAGTTACGTTATGCGTCTTAAAAGCGACGAGCAATCAAAAGAAACAGCCAAAACACAACGAACGAATAAATAGCCCCAATTACATAGATTTACTAAATACACAGTCCATGCTCCAAATATTTCACAAAGCAATACCAGAGCATTCATGAACTATTATGAAATATAAGATCATTGCGATATTAGAACAATTCCCATAATATTCAAATAGAAAGTTCTTAAAGTCACTAAGATGTTAGGTTACTGCATGTTTTAAAGACTTTAACATTAGAATCTACCTCAAAAACGTCTTACTGAAATAACAGTGGTAGTATCTATATATGCATGTATCTTCTTATATCTATTTACTGCAGGGTTTGTTGCTCGTGCTGTGTGGATGCAGTAGAATGTGTCCCCGTGCTTGTGGTGTATGCCCTTATATTTTACAATTATAGGTTGCTTGCCTGTGAGAGAGCTTTCACATGTTTATGATATCTTTGTTCTTAATTGTTAATTCAATATTATGGTGTTTGGATGTATAAATACTCATCCACGCTTGCTATTTTTATTATTGTCCCCTGCTATGGTTTTACTTTTATTTCTTGTAATCTCTGTTTTTGCCCTGTGTTTGTTATATGTCTGTTTTGTATTACTTGAGTCTTTACGCCGGGCCTTTTATAACAGTTTTTGTACGAGTTCTTTTACTGCTTTGCCTATTATTTCTTATTTTACAAATTGTGACTTGGATGGAGAGTTGTCTCATTGGCACTTATACCACATCTTCTTATGTCTATGTATGTTTATCGCAAAAACAAATATAGGAAAAAAGGAAAGAAGATAGAAAGCGGCCAAGCAAAAAAAATTAGCTATGATGAAATTTACAAGACAATATTATTGTGGTAATCCGTGCTGAAATAATAATGATTCATTTTCACTAGATGCTTCAACTAGTGCGGACATTTGTATGATTATGTAATGTGTTAGTGAAAGTGGATCATGTAAGACCTATAAAACTAATAAAAATACAATATATCTGTCTAAACTGAAAATAGATTTAAGTTTTAAGTGTTTTAGGTTATCCCTGCTGAATACAAATTCCGTTAAAAACCTTCATTGAGTCCGTTTATGTAAATATGGCGTGCACTTACAGGGACCGTATACGTTATTCAAGTACAAGCATTTCCATTGATCATTTAAAGTACGATAAATTATTGGTAATATTGGGAAAAAGCAATATTGATAAAAGGCTTAGGTACAGAAATAAATTAACAATTCAAAATGCTTCATAATATTTTGATTTTCTTCGCGTTATAGCTTTCTTAGCGGACGTCCCAATGACCTATTTTAATTCAATTTTACAACTAAACTACGCAACTATACTAACAAATTACACATGTTATACGACATCAGAGGAACAGATAAAGAAGACAAGATTGTAAATTAAAGTTTGACATCTTTACTTACCGTGTTAATTGTAAGCATTTACTCACCATCTCTTGTCCCGTCAAAAGTTTAGAAATGTTAAAAATGTTGATAAACAAGATTTTTCTGACACAAGTTTTATTTCTTATTTATTGTTTGTTGTTTTTTTTTTTAAATGAAACACGTCATAAAACTTATGAATCTCTTTTTACTTAACGATTAAAAATCGGGTACTCGATTAGAACCCATTTTTTGAACAATTAAAAATCTGGTACTCAATTAGAACCCCCTTTTCATAACGATTAAACATCGGGTACTCACTAAGAACCCCTTCTTCTTAACGATTAAAAATCGGTTACTCAATTAGAACCCCCTTCTCCTTAACGATAAGAAATCGGTTACTCGCTTAGAACCCCTTCTTCTTAACGATTTAAAATCGGGTACTCTCTAAGAACCCCTTCTTTTTAACGATTTAAAATCGGGTACTCACTTAGATAGGCTTTAGAATATAGAAGCTGAGTATGATAAATAGTAATATTGAGGTCTGTCCTTTTGTATTTTATTTTAAAACATCATAAAAATAGTAGCTTCCGTTTATTGATTGCAAAAAAAAGTATGATTTAAGTAAGGGGAGTTATTTTCGAAACCTGTTTTCCTTGGCTAGTGTTTATTCTCGGGTCGTGTTTTATCTTAACAAGAGTCATCAGTTCTCTTGAAGTGTGTGATAAACTATATCATGTTGAGATCTATTTATTCTCTAAATACTCATGCTTTCCTAAATAATGGGAATTTGTGTAACTAATAAATCATGGAAATCCTTGAGTTAAAGAAAAGAAAGGTAGAATAACACAAAGTCCACACACTTCACAAAAGCAAGAACCTAAAAAAACAGCCTGTTTATTTCCGTTCTTTATATGAACTAATGTGACTTTGAGATGAAGATCAGCAATAAAAGTGCTGTTTCTTTACTTTTTGTGTTTTTGCTCTGCATGTACTGATGGATATCCGATATCCTTTCTTTACTATAATGCTACATTATGTGTTCTATATGTGTTGATTTGCTCTATCTGAGCCTGAATAACAAGATTAAATTCAAGCTGTAAAGTGTTTGATAACATTTTAATCCAATCCTGCCACAAAGTACTCAATAAATATACGAGAAATCCTAAATCAGAAAATCACTGACAAAAATAATTTAAAAGTTATATTCGTAAATTTATAGTAAATCTCTATTCATAGCATGTGCTTCCTATAAAGCTATATATTAAACTTTTGTTGATAAATGGCCCCTGTTGTAAATTTAACAATAAAAAGATTATTGCTTGTAACAACTGTCATCACTATGATATATATTGTTTGTAACTGAATTCAGTTAGCTAGACAACAATGATAAATGTGTAGGTAAAATAGACATTAAAAAAATTGTATTTTCCTACTTTTTAATACGATTAAAGTCTAGAGCATCTGTAATCATTGCTCATACTCATATACAACGAAAGCACTTATAATATTTGTCATGCACGCTAGTTAATGTTCTATAATTTACATTGGAATGACACTAAACTTGACAGAATTACGTCATGCAGCATATCGTTGTGCACCATTTCTGAAAGTAGAAGTTATATTTATATGACCCGCCGCTAGGCGAAGGGGGCATTAAGTGATACCCTTAACCGTCCGTCCCATTTTCGTTTCCCCACTCTAATTTAAGTTTTCTTCATCTAAATTTTATGAAACTCATACACAATGCTAAGAACCAAAACTCACAGACAGAGTTCAAATTTGGTCACTTACCGTTCTAGAGTTACTTGGAAAATTGCAACTTTTTTCGTTTCCGCTCTCCAACTTAAGTTTGCCTCATACAAATTTTGTGAAACTCATACACAATGCTATGACCCACAACACGCAGACAGAGCTTAAATTTTGGCAGTATGTCATTAACCGTTCTAGAGTTATGCCACTTTATAACTTTAGAATTGCAAAGCATGGGCATTGGTTTCCTCAGACACATTCTTCTTTTATTTGCCATGGATATTAGTAAATAATAATTTTATATACTAAAACCCATTTCCAATTGGCTGTGCGGGGTGTATAAATACGCAGCCACGCCCGGTCGGAATGG